TATACATCTGGGACATAGCCACCGGTTTCAAAACCAACAACAAAACAATCTGATGATGATGAGTCCGGAAGACACGAAAATGTCCAAGCAGAGCAACTATTTTCATTCTCATCTAGTTGATCAGGGAGTTCAATTATGTCATTGCTAATAGTATTGAAAAAGAACATGCCGCGGGTGCCATGACTCATGAGCAACCAATTAGCCTTTGAGCTACGAATTCGGGCACCCCTAAATTTTGGAATATCGGCTTTCTGAGTAGTTACGACATTGTACACTGGATCAAAGAATTCTACCATGCCTGTTTCTTTTTGCAGCGTCATCAAACAAGGCGATGGTGTATATGATTGTGGACACGGAGGAGACGTTAGGGGTGCATAGCGCCAATGTTTACAAACGGCACGAAAAACAAAGTAATCAGCAGCAACAAGACGTAATGATATTAATCCGAGTATGTCTAATGGAATACCTGACCACAATTTATCATAATCTGCCACCTCCATTATTATTCAAAATTTTGCTTTGAACTTGAGAGATTAAATTACTAATTGAATTGGAAAAAAGGATTTGTTATTACCCAATTTAAATAGAACAAGAATAAGTAACGTGTATTAACTGTCTTTTTACCTTACTTATTTGAATCGGAAATCCCAATTATTTTATTTATTTATGGAAAATCTCAATTATTTATTAGAAAGGAAAGGAAAGGAAAACAAATTTGCTTGTCCTAGAGCTACTTTAATTCCTTTTCTTTATCGTATTTGAACTCATTATTATTTTTATATTTAATTCGAACTTATTCTTTTAACTACACATGTTGGAGGAGATGAAGGTGGAAGAGAAGAAGAACGATGGACCACCCCTTTCTTCACAACCATATCCTTGGCTTGTTATATGTCCATTACGAAAAAAACCACAAACTTTTTTCAGCATATCAGAAGATCGATCTTATAAAAGAAGTATACATGAGTTTTGTAACGCAATAATACGTGCTTCTGCTCAAGAGTGGCTCGTGTTAGAAGACTTTGACTCTATTGATTGTTACCTTTGGAGTCCTATTTCAAACGACAAAATTCAGCTCCCACCACTCCCTAATAACGACAAACTTTTGTGTCTCTTGTCTGCACCACCCAATGATCCTCGATGTCGTGTTCTCTTCCTTATTCATGAGACTACTCCTGATGATGATGATGACGATGAGAATACCGATGATAACACAGACAATAAGAATTCCAATGATGACACAGATCCCGATGATGATGACACAGATACCGATGATGATGACATAGACAATGAGGATTCCGATGATGGTGCAAACGATGATGAGTATGCCGATGATGAAGACACCAATGATGACACAAATCCTGATGATGATAACACGGATTCTAATGATGATGACATAGACAATGACAATCCCGATGATGATGTTGTTGCAAACAATGACAATGATGATGATGATGATGAGAATACGCCTCCGCCTGCACTTTACTTGTGCAAGCCTGGTTATGATCAAGAATTTCATAAACAAGATCTGAAATCAATTATTGGAGTTGACCTTTTTTTGGGATGGACAGTATTCAAGGGAGATTTTTATGTATTAACATGGCAGACACCACACATTCTACTCCGTTTAGATGTAGATGATTCATCAGGAACAATATCAGCTACACCAATGACTAACCAACCTCCATATGATCACTTCACAGAACTCTTAGACATGCCATACTCTAGGAGTTACCTCTTTCAATCATCATCTCATGATGACGAGAAAGAGGTTGAACTGTTATATGTTCACATATTGTTATATGGAAGGACCCATGTTGATGTATACAAAATTACAGTATTTCGGTTTGATTTTGTAAAAGCAGTGTGGGAGGAGGTGAAAAGTATTGGTGAAACGGCAATTTTCTTAGATAATTCTTATGGTGGAACAACATGTTGTACAAGAGGCACTCATATTAAAAAAGAATCCATCTACTTCACTGAGGGCCATTATCTCTATAGTTTCAATTTGGAAACACAGAGCATATCAGTATCCCTTCCTTGCCCAGAGATGTCGGTGAAGAATCCGCGCTCCTACTGGTTAACGCTCTTGGCCACGTAAGATGAAAGTCTCACGCACAATTTCGAATGAGAGAATTTTATTTATCTTTCAAATGTCTATATATTTGCAATAAGATGTGAAAGTCCTCTTTGTTAGTTTAAATTTTATCTGAGGCATTTAGGAGGAAACTGTGCAAGTTTTTCCCAAAGCCGACTAAATCACACCATGTTAAGAATTTTGTGCTATTGATGTCTGCCTATTTTCACAATTCGTCTTATTAATTGGTTTGGATTTGCACTTGTGATTTTAAGGTCTTACTTTCTGTCCCAAGTTGATAATTAGTGTCCTTTTATTTAAGTAGTGTCGACTTTTTTAAGCAAAAGAAGGTGTATGCCATGTCTTAATTTAGTTCCCATGATCAAGTTCTTCGAAGTATGAAAGCCATTTTTAAATTTTCGAAGTAAATTCAGATGTCAATATGTTTTACTCTTCTTGAAATTGTACTGAAGAAGTTGAAGTTGAGTCCGAATCTCCTTTGAGTTAAAAATATGCCAAGTTATTAAAAATAGCAAAAACTATACAATATGTGCTAATATGTTTAACCATGCATAATTGATTATAAACTGATACGTATGTGAAGTAGTATTTGGAATTTGGATAGCCAGATAAAAATAAATTTACTAGGCGCATTTAAGTGTTGCTTTCGAGTAATCAATTCCAGGAAGGTCACCTAGTCATTTTCAGACAATTTTAGACTATTTAAAATTACACATTCACATTCAATGTGTCACACAATATGTAAAGACTATTTAATCTTTCTCAAGTCATTGCACTGTAAGTCAAATCACATTCTCAAGTCAATTCAAGAAAGATTTAAATGAAAGTCCCAATACTTGTAATAACACATGTATTTGTTCTGATACACATGAAATTATGCTGAGCTTATTTGTCAACTTTGGGAATTAATTTGCTGTATCCAGGGAATACTGAAAGTGAACAAGATAGTAAATTCTTTTAATTACTTTTCCATATTCATATTTCCACAATTTTGGAACTGGAGGAAGTGATGAAGCGGAGTGTTGTTTTGGTGATAAATCTGCAGGTATGAGCTGCATATGATAACCGTAACGGAATACCTCATGTTATGTTGGTTGGGTATATGAACAATGTCTCGCATTAGAAGTTAATAAGAAAAAGAAGATGTGTATAAAGTGAAGTGATACTCTTAATGATTGGAGACATTTGGAAGAAAATTGTGCACGTTTTGCCCAAAGACAACGATATCACACTATTTTAAGAGTTTCTTCATTAAGAATTTTGTGCAATTGATGTCGGTTTATTTTAACAATGTCTTGTAAGTAGGTTTAGATCTGCAGTTCTGGTGACCACCCCTATTTTTGGGTGGTCTTTAATTATTATCCCTCAATCGATGGACTTTAATTTTTACCCCTGCTTATCATTTAATGGAAGTTTGTGGGTCAAAGTACCCTTAACTATGACCTAGTTTCGAGTACTTTTTCCTTTGTCCGGCATAAGTTGTGTAGTATCTAATTCGCAAGGCAAAAGTTTAGATAACATAGGTTTTGTAGGAATAAGTTATGCCTTGCGTATTCTGTTTCAAAAGGAGCTCAGTTCAATAAGAAAATATTATGTTGGAAAATTAGAAACTAATACTTCAACATGTTGCATAAGCAAGAAGCTTGTTATTATCTGAAAAGAAGAAGAAATCATCATCAATTTGATTCGAGCTCTGCTATTAGTGTCCTAAATATTATCCTTATAGTACGAGGCTTTGCATGTATTTTTAACCATTTGCTGTAACACAGGTATTTGATGCGATGGAGAAGGTTTGCACATGGAATGCTATGACTTCTTCCAGCTTGTGCGTGTGCCAAGCTTGTCGATTTCGGGTTCTAATTGTTTGAAGCAATGTCACATGAATTCGGACTTGCAGCTAAAATGAAGCATTATGGTTTTGTGGTTGATCTACTACAGGAAGCTTATGACTTCATAAAGAAGATGCCTTTATTTTGAAGCTGATGCTATTGTCTTGGTGCTTGTAGACTTGGTGGAGCAATTGAGTTGGGAAATGAAGTAGAACAATTATTGCTTGAGTCGCAACAGAATCATTCTGGGCGTTATGTGCAACTCTCAAGCATTTATGTTGGCGCAGAGAGGTGAGAAATAGCAATGTTATATCCTGGAATACACAAGGTTCCAGCCCACAGTTTTATTTCGTAGAGTTGATAACTGCAGCAGCTTTTATTTGTAAATTTTTGATGAGCTAACTCTGTAACTACACAACTCTGCCATGTGCATCGTGATTCTTTTGATAATCGAGAAATCCCCAAGGGCTGGTGGCACACATTTCAGCTGTGATGAAGTCATGACTCATCAAATTAAGCGGTTCTGCTGGATTTCTTCTTAAATGTGATATCTGGTTTCACCACTGCTAGGATTTAAACCTTAGTATTCAAGGTTACGTTGTTTCTCCAACCTTTTAACGGCTACACCAACTCAATTGTATTCAAGTTATTATATATTGATCAATATCGAGGAATACTTTTTCTATTTCAAAGTACGAGAATTTGGAATTGTTTTAGCATTTTTAAGGCAGCCTATTTTTAATGTGCTTTCTATTGTTATTCCAGTTTTCTAGCAAATCGTCTCATGTATTCTACAGTTATTCCAGTTTCCCTTTTGACCCCTTTTCATTCTATGAAATTCTATGGTTTTTCCTCGCAATAGAATATGCTAAATTTGTAACAAACATTTTATGAAACAAAACACAAACACTTTATGAAACATCACAAACTATGAAATTAAAAGCTTTTATCCTCATCCCAGCAATGCAGTGGACTTGAATCCTGCAAATTTCAAAAATGAAGAATTAAAGTTAAAAAGCTTCAAAGATGAAGGAGGTAAAAAATTGATGGATATAAATTAAGGAGGTTACATACTAATGTCTTTTCTTTTGCTTTTTCATTCTCGTAAGAATTTTGTGTTCCAATTCTACATCCATCCTTGAAAACCATGCTGGATATTGAGTTGACAACATTATGTATATTATGGACAATCCAACAACAAGTCCACAACCGTAACCCATGAGAACCGCCTGCCAACTTATTATTGCTGAATCTCCTTCTTCTCCTTCATCTAGCCCAACTTGAGTTGTCGCTTGTGGTACCCCTTCATCACCACCACAATCTTTTGAGAGTGGCAATCCACGTAACCCATCATTCCCTTGGTATGAACTATTCTCAAACGTATCAAATTGTTTTCCTTTGGGGATGCATCCGACAAGATAATTGTGAGATAGATTTAAGACTTCAAGTGATGTGAGGGATGCAAGTTGTTGTGGAATTTCTCCGCTGATTTTGTTGGATGAGAGATCCAATGATTCAAGTACAGATAACTGGTGCAGTGATGATGGTATAATACCTTCCAAGTGATTATGCGATAAGTTCAACGTGCGAAGCCCAATGAGATCTCCAATAATGCTTGGGATATGACCTTCAAATCTATTCCTTGAGAGATCGATAATCATGTCTGTAGTCAAAACTCGAGGAAGCTCAAGCTCCAGTCCCTTTGTTGTCACTATCAAGGAATTTGTGTAATAATAAGAATTTATATCTGCTACATACTCTCGGGTTCCTCTGTTCTCACTAGTTATTTTCATGGCTTCAAATTTCTCAAAAAGGCTCATTGGTAAATCTCCACTAAATCCATTGGAAGAGAGATCTATGACTCGAATTTGAGCAAACAATTTGTCAGTCCTAGAATCTTTTATAGGGCCATAGAATTTATTTGATCTCAAGTTCAAAATCTGCAACTCAGGTAGGGCTCCCAACCATTTAGGAAATGTGTCATTCAACTCATTGTTACCTAAATCAACAACTTCCAAATATTTGCAATTGATCAAAGATTGTGGAACTTTCCCCTCTAGCTTATTCCCGTCAAATTTAATGATTCTAAGATCGTTTCCAACACTTAAAGTTGTATTAATTATCCCGCTAAGACTATTGTTGCTTAAATCCAAAGCCCAAAGTCCACTCATCTCACCCAAACATAGTGGGATTGTTCCCTCCAAATTATTGCTGCCCAAATCTAGCACTCGTAGTGTTTTCAGATTGCATATGGTTGAAGCAATCTGTCCACTGAGATTATTGTGTGAAAAGAGAAGATAATGTAGATCACGCTGGTTTAGGAGTGACTTTGGAATAGGACCTTGCAGCTGATTTTGCTTTAGAGAAACTCGACTCAATGTTTTAGATTTGAACTCCTGAATGTTTCCACTGAAATGGTTATCACTCAACTCTAAACCAGTTAGTGAAGGGAGGGAGAATATCCAGGATGGTATAGTCCCATTCAAGTGGTTTGATGACAATAAGAGTGATTGTAGGTTTTGCATACCACTTACATTAGAAGGAATGGGACCTGTTAGGGAATTGAATGAAAAATCTAAGAATTGAAGTTGCGTCAAGCTTCTGTTAAAGGATAAGAACTCAAGTTGGCCATCCAAGTTGTTATTTCCAAGTGATAACCGACTGAGCTTTCCAAATCTAAAGAGATCAGAAATTGGTCCTTCAAGATGGTTATCAAGAAGGACCAAATCCTCTATGTTGGTGAGATTCCATAGAGGTTTAGGAATAGAGCCTGAGAGATTACAAGAAAACAAATCTAATATACGCAGTGAAGTTAGATGACCAAATGATTCAGGTATCCTACCAGTAGCATTCACACCACTGAGATATAACTCCATGAGTGATGCACTGCTATTCCATTTGGTTGTGGGAAACTTAACAGTGAGCTGGGGATTGTATGATAAATCAAGAGATTCCAAGCTGGAAAGGTGGAAAACTCTTTTGGGCAATACCCCGTATAACTGTGTTAATGGAAGCTGTAGAGCTGTTAAATAAGAAGAGAAATTCAGAGGAATGGTGGAAGAGATGTTCACACCGTAAAAGTAAAGCTCTCTTAATTGGGTCAAGTTCTTAAGGAGCGGTTCAAAATTTTGAGGTCCGAATCTTAATACACTATTACTCTGGATACTAAGAACGTGTAATTTAGAAAGATGAGAGATTTCTGCTGGTATTAGACCTGTAAAACTTGAATACGACAAATCAAGATGAGTCAAACTAGAAAGCTCACCAAATTTAGGTGAAATGAGTGATTTAGAAAAATCATTATAAGACAAATTAAGCCTTTTGAGATTGGAGAGTTGAAAGAGGCTACTGTTGGAGTGAAACTTGCCTTGAAGTCGGCTGCAATTGAGGTTGAGCTCAATCACTTGTCCTGTCGTCTCGTCACAATAAACTCCATCCCATGAACAACAATCTGAGTTCTTGTTCCACGAAAGAGTTTTGGGATATGACTGAACCCCTTCAAAAGAATAAGCATAAGGATCTATTGTAAACATGTTCTTGAATTGTAGAAGAGAAAGAGCTTGCTCTTTGGGGCACAAATGAGATAAGGATGAGCAAAAAGCAAGTTGGCAGAGGAAGGAAAATAGTATAAAAAATAGTACAAGTTTTACGTAATCCATTTCTGCACTAAAATGTTCAAAACTAAATAAGTTGGTTGAGAGAAATCAATAAATCTTTGATTTGTTACTCTATTTAATAATTTTGATGAGGTATATATAGCACAAATCAAGCAAAGAAATTTACTAGGAAAAAAGGGAAAATATATTCATCAACTTTGCGATTTAGATCGGATATACCCCTCATTAAAAACGTGGTGCATATATACCCAGTCATTTAACAAATGTTGTATATAGGTCCTCGTCGTCTAACAAATGATACATATTTATCATTTTCGTTAACAGATTGAATTAAAAAAAACAACCTAAAACTGGTTTTTTAATTTCAAAATTTTCATGTTGCCTTGATAAAAAAAATAATCCTAAAATTGGTATTGATTGGTGTATAGATCTTGACAACAACATTTCAGGTTGAAAATTCTTTAATTTTTTGATTGGTTACTTGGTGTGCAGACCTTGACTTAAAGGTACAGATTCACAAAAGTTTTGATTAGTTAGGATAAGTGCATTGCTTGGTGTATAGACCTTGAAAACAATATTTCATATAGTAAAAAAAAAATCCATGTTTTATTGGTTAGGATAACAATATCAAGCTCAATTAAGGTTACCAATATGAATTGGCTTTAAATAATGTGATGGTTTAATATCTACAAAATATGTACATACGTATTTAATCAAAGTTTAACGAACACTTGATAAAACATCACAAACCACGAAAGGCAAAATGCTTTTATTTTCTTCTCTTGAAATCTGCAATTTTCAAAATATGAAGAATTAAGTAAAATATTTGACGTAATAAAAACTTGTAATTAAATTAATGAGAAGAATTTTAAGTCAATGCACAAGTCATTGCACAAGAATCTAAATGTAATGATACAAAAACTCTATCACATACTAGTAATCTTATTCATCAAATAGTACTAGATCTAACTAGTATGCAGGGCTACGAAACGCGAAATAATGCACCTTTAGAATGTTAACTTTAATAATTGGGAACAATTATTTAATCAATCTAAATTAGGAAAAGTCGTAAGTATCCTTTGAACTATGACCGAAATTTCAGGAGCACAGTTTTTATTTACGGGGTCTTATTACCCCCCCCCCCCCCCCCCACCCCAAACTTTTTGCCCTCTATATTTATTTGCACCTTACGTGTTGACACGGAGCCATAACTCATTTCAATTAGTTGCAGTGATATACACACAACACCACGTGTATATATGTTTCTTTTTTTTAAAAAAATGTTCGTTCTATTTTCTTTTCATGATATTTAAAATAAGTTAATACACATAATATTTTTTTATTTCTTTAACAATAACATATTTACCCCTTTCTTTAACATATATATTTACTTAGTTGAAAAAAAATATAATATTGGTTATTTTAAATTTAAAAAATATCATGTGGCTTTCAATAATTATCTCGCCTCTTTTTATACCTCTACACTCTACCCAAATGAATAAAAAAAACTCAATTCCTTTTCTACTCAGTCATAAAATGAGTTTGAATCGGGTCTAAATAGATGAAGAATTGAGTTTAAAAAATTGGATTGGGTCTGGGTGCGTAAAAATGAATGATGCAATTTTTAAGCCACGTGGTCTTTTTGGAATTTTAAAACCAGTTTAAAGAATTTGTTATTTTTTTTAAATTCATTTTATTAATGAAAAGGGTAAATGTACTCCATTTACTAGACGATGGGGGTATATATGCATCATTTGTTAGACGACAGATGTATATATGGACCACTTTTTTAACGAGGGGTATATCTGCTCTAAAATCGAAAAATTGAGAGGTATATTTGCCCCTTTGTCCTTAATTTTAGAAAAAATTATGTTGGGGTATTTATGATACTTCTCTCACATGATTGTTTTAACTTATTTTGTTTTTCTTTCATTCTTTAGTGTAAAATATGAGAAATAATGAAAGAATTGTGAATGGAAAAAGAGAAAAAAATAAGAAAAAATTTAAAACTATTTTTTGGTGCTATATTGTAATTTATTTTTGAATCTATAAATTTTTTTGGGGCATCTATGATAAATTTTACAAGAAAGTTAGTTCCAAAATAAATTTTCAAATTAACTGTTGAATCTAAAAAAAATTTAAAATGTGTGAGAAGGTTCAAATGTACCCCTACATGAATATGTTTTTTTAGGAAAAAATAAAAAATTAATTTAGAATAAAAATTTATACTTCCGCTAGAGGAAAAAAGTATATATGAGTTAGTTGTGTAACAGTAAGGGTAAATATGAGCCACTTTTATAATGAATGGTAGATAAGATCTAAATAATAAAGATGAGGGTTACATCAGACCTTTTTCCCTTTAATAGATTTAAATTTTTAGAGAAAAAAAAAAGAATAGTCTATAAGAGTAGATGGTGATATATGGGCCTTGACAAAAACAATTAAGTTGAAAATTCAACTTAATGCAGAAAATTCTATAAGAGTGTTAACTGGTGTAAAAACCTTGACTTAAAGGTAAATAATAAATACAGTCGAAAATCACTTCAAATTTTGGTGGCACTGATTTAAGTCCAGACGGGTAAATACGGTGAACTGTCAACGGATGTGATATATGAATGTAATTTTGATGAGGTATATTATGAATCATAAATTAATAAGCAAAGAAAAATCCACCATTTTTGCTTTGGAGCAATCGATTATGAGGAGCCCACCTAGTTACTTTTAATCAAATTTTGAAATGTCAACTTTATATTCTCAAGTCCATACACGAGTCATTGCGCAAGAATCCAAATGATTGCTGAAAAATATCAGAAGTTCCAAATTATGAAGTCAAGTCATCTCATAGAAAGTTTAAATGAAAGGTACTACACAAAATCTTATCACTTGTCAGGGGCGTAGCTAGTGTCCAATTGGACACCCTTCGTCGAAAAATTACACTGTATTTATATGTAAAATGATACTTTAAATGGTTAAATAACACATTTTGGACACCATTGAAAAACAATAAAGTTTCTTAGCTTAGTGATTTCAGTCATTCACCAAGTCTTTTGCAACCTATTGTGCGCGAGTTCGATTCCCTGATTTTTTTTCATTAAAAATTAAATAAAATTTAAAAGTAATTATTTAATTTAAAGTTAATAAGCAAATCCTATTTATTTATTCATTTAGTCCATAAAGCTACTAAAAGTGAAAAGGCTCCATATAGAAATTTTTATAAGTCGTTTGATTTTACTTTTTATTTTTCATTTCTCGTAGTTAGTCATCTGAGGTTCGTGAAATCTTGAAGCATAAAAGTAATTTCACTCTAAACTGAATTTTCTCTCTTCTTTTTTTTTGTCTAGTCACTTCCTATCAAATAAACATGAACATCAAAGCTAAATATTATATAGTTTGATTTTAAAATTTTTGGTATATTTTTTAATTAAAAAATAATCATTAATGTTACGTAGTTTAATTTACAAAATTTAAGTGTCATTCATTAAATCATTTTTATTAGCTATGAAATTTTTGAACACCCTTCGTAAAATTTCTGATTACGCCACTGTCACTTGTGATAATACAATTTTGTTTGATACCTTATCGGTTAAAAATGTCACAATCCCAAGTCTCTGCAAGCAGTCCTGGCACATTTATTACGCATTGTTAATCTTATTTATCAAATAGTACTACATGTAACTATCCAACACAATGTAGAAAAAATCATCCTGTGAATATTATCCTAACAGTAGGAAACAATTATCAAATCAATTTATATTCTTAAAGGAGAAGAAAAGTGAAAGGGAGCATTGGAACCACAGTAAAGTTATCTCTATTGTGAACCACAAATTCAACAAAGAAAAACCTACTACAGCTAATCAAGTCCAAGTAGCTCATCTAGTCACTTCTAGTCAACTTTTGAGTTGTCAATAACATATCACATTTTTTGGTGAAATTCCATTGAATAATCTTTTTAAAACTATTATGAAAACAGTTATAATAATACAATTTTGTTTGATACAATATCAGTCTTAAAAGTCGTAATCCCAAGTCTCTACAAGTAGTTCAAACCCACATTGTTATCCTTTATTAATCTTACTTGTCAAATTAGTACTATCAGACATAATGCAAAACAAAAATCACCTTGAGAATATTATGCCTAATGGTAAGAAATAGTTATTAAATCAATTAAAATCTTAGAGAAAGAAAAGTGAATGGAGCTATGGACATCACTTAAGTGTCTCTGCGTGACGTCTAGGTCACATGTTTAAACTTTTTAGACCCTACTAATACGAGATGTTTTGTGCACGGATAACCTCTTCTTTTTAAGAGGAGAAAGAAGAGTTTATAAGAGTGATAATCGGTGTATAGACTTTGACAAAAAAATCAGTAACCATCCCAATGTGTGTGAAGACCATATATTCTAATAGTAGTCAAGTAAGAAATAATTATTTTATCAATTTAAATTCTTAGAGAAAAAAGAAGAAGAGAAGAAAGAGTCTATAAGAGTATTAATTGGTGTATAGACTTTGTCAAAAAAGTTTAATTAGTCAAAAAAAGAGTAATAATTGGTGCATAGACCATGAGAAAAAAACATTTCAAGTTAAAAAAATATTCTAGTTATTTCATTCTTTACTGTAAATGTAACACCCTAAAAAAAATTTAACTAAGACTCGAACTTCATTGTAAGTAGGATTTTACCGAGGAATTTAAAATTTCTTGAGTGTTAAGGTCACTAGATGTAGCACCTTGAGTTTCAAAAACAACTAAAGAGAGTTCATTCAAGTCATTCCTAAGTTCCTTTAAGTTTTGGGTCAACTTCAAACGACCATAACTTTCAGTACAAGATGAGTTAGGTGGCCCATAAGATATCAAATGAAAGTTCTTTGAATTATCTTTCAAATGCCACTGAGTTTGCTAATTTTCGAGCTCGTATGAAGGATATATTCACTTTTTAAATCAGGCTGTCCATTTAAGAAAAGTTAACCGAAAATATGAGGGGTATTTTGGTCTTTTCCTTACCCAATCAGATTTAATTCATTTTAGTAAGGTTTTAGGGGTCTAAA